CTGCCTTCCCTCTAGTCTTACTCTGCTAAATTAGGGACGGCTAGTGCAGATAGTCCTCGTGTAGCTTTGCGCGAAATTCAAAATAAACAAACCAAACAAGGTTCAGCCAAAGGAAACATGAGACTGACAGATGGAAGGTTGAAAACAATTATTATTTACTCCAATGAAATTTCATTTGTCGAGTCGAAATACATCTGTAGTAAAAGTATACATTCCAACTATATAGTTATACAGAAAAAAAGGAAGAGTTTTATGAAGGATTCATAGATTTACGGATACTTTTGAAAGATTGGAGACTTTGGTATTTATCTAAACCTTTTACCTCGAACGAAAACCTTGAAAGAGTAACGCTGGATACAATAGTAACATCGGATACTACTGCTGTGGCTCTGTAACACTAGTGGTCAATGTAAGATAATTCAACAATAAATTCATCCAACGAATTAGAGGAATAGCCACATAGAGCCAATAATACGGTACTTCTACCCAAATTACGCAACAATTACGGGAGTTTAAAATAACTTTATATAGTTTTAAAAATGATAACCAAAATTTCTTAAGCTAAACCAAAGGGTGTCCGTTATTTGTTGTGAGCTCCTCATATATATGAAACAATGATCTGTTTTTGTTGTTTTTTTAAATCTAGTTTATGTTTAGATTAAGTTTGGAGAGTAGTACGAAATAAGACACCAAAATGGAAAATTAGTCCATAGAGGGTCTTTGACAGAAGCATCAATTGAGTGTGGAGGATACTAGAAGTGACAGCAACGACAGCGTGCAAGAAGAAAACCGATTAGATAAGAAAGCTGAAGATTACTTCCGTAGCAAAGAAAAGACGCCGCAATACTTGTGATTTCCACAAGGAATCCATTTTAAGTGAAAAAAATATATGATGAAAAATATTTCATGAAATGACAAAAAAGACCTTTGAAATATATCATGAAGCTTCATGGAGGAAAGAAACAGTTAGGAAGAGTGATTGAGCTGTTTTAACTCTAAATCAAGATTGTTAAAACGACAACAGCAGGTTAAGCGGTTTTGATTTCGCAAGGAATGCATTAAAACAAGACTTTGGAATAGATTAAGGACGCATTACAAGTGCAAAAGAAACATTTTGAGAAGGTTTGCAAAAAAAGTACTTGTAGGTTGGTTTGTAAAATCTGTTAAGTAGTTTTAGTGGACTACGGACGATTGTACAATTGATCAATTTTAATTAGTCATATCACGAAACTCAACATAAACTAGGCGTAAAACGAAAGACGAAAAGAAATGATGATAAAGATAAAACTTTAATTGGAACAAGTACAATGACTGATGAAAGAGTTTAAGAATGTTGACAACCTTCTATATGTATGTGGTGAAGTACAACACAAAGTTGTATGTCAATGTAAGTAAAAGATAACTGGTCCTGAAAATTACAGCAGTTGCGAACTTACAATAGTTATTTTGGACCAAAAATTCCCAAGCAAGATAAAAGAAGATACTCCGATTGGACATTGGCCGATCGCGACCCACTGATTAACGTGTCGGACTGTGAAACTGAGGGAGGATATGTGATTCTCGCTCAGTTACCGCCAATAAATTAAATTGCACTCCACACTTTGGGGTCGTGAGTGCATTATAAGAGTGACGATCATATTCCATTAATCGATTAGAGTATCACACAAATTGGCGGTGGGCGCTGTTAGCTAACTTCCTTCCTTGTAGTCTATCACTTCAAAATTAGGGACAGCAAGTAGCCTTCGCGTAATAAAACATAAAAAAGATCATGTAGTATTAAATAAAGATGAAAGTATGGCGAATATTTCTGCAAGAATGTGGATTGATCTCCTTTGAATGGTTTAGCGTGAATGTATGAAAAGTAACATACAAGTCAATGACATACTAACATGTTATAAATACTTGGGCAATTGTCTTGTAA